TAGAGGTTTTCCCCTTGTTTAGGATTGCGTTACCGGCTCCTTCTAAAAGTCTACTTCAGCTCTATTCTCCTAACTCTTGTCTTTTTACAGTAACCTCTACTTTGAGTGGCTCTTAGGTTTTGTATTGTATGAACATTAGTAAAAAAAAAAAAAAAAAAAAAAAAAGGCTTAGTAAATTTTCATACATAATGATTCTTTACTACGGTTTTGCAAATATATTTTAAAAATGCTTATCCTTAATATTTTTCTATTAAATTTTGACTAGCGAGTTCTCCAGTCATCTTCAGGTGTATATATCACATAAGAAATAGTGCTTTTTAATGATATAGCTCTTCAGGACAGTTAAAAATGACTCGCCCAGGATACCTTTATCAGCTGTGATCAACAGGACTTCTTGTGATGATAATGAAGTGGTTTCCAATTGCCTTTTCCACTGTTTAGCATTCAAATCTCGAGAGTAGTATTCCTTGCTATTTAACCCATAGCTGGGGCACAAGATATAGATCTACGACGTTCCCAAAGAGTATTTGTGCAAAAGTTAAGATAACAGGAAAGGCTGGAACTTGAACTCTGTTCGCGATTTCCATATAACCACTGCGCCACACTCACACATCTTTAATATTCAATATTTTTAAATAAATGTAGAATCAAGACACAAAAACAATAAAAATGAGTATAAAATCACGAAAAAACAATGAATGATTATATCTTGTTTGCGAGCCTCAAAGAAAAGAAATACGTCTCAGATGTGTTTTTATTGCGAGACTAAAAAGGAAACTGCAGAACGAAATGTTTTCCTAGTCAGTAGGCCAAGGACCCTATGGACAGGTTCCCGAACAAGGATCTACAGACTATAAAGCTGAATTAAATCAGTTTGGTATTTGTGAGTGATGGAAGTACATATGTGACAGGTTATTAATCAAGAATTTTAGACGGTCAGTGCAAAATGACAGTTTTAGAGGGAAAATGTGTTCGCGTTTATTCAGTAGATTTTTTTAAAAAGCACAATTTATGTGTATTTTTCAAAAAGAAACGATTCTCAAAATACGTGACAAAAAGAAACCCACATGAGTTTTTTTTTAATTATTTCCACCCAATAAAGTCACGAAAACGCAGGCGATTATTATGTGTTAAAGAATATTCGAAAAAGCAAACTTTAATAAGGAGAGAGATCAATAAAAGAACAATAATTAAAAAGACAAAAGAAAACAAGTGACATTTAAATTTTTGAAGACCAAAGTTGACTGGAAAGCAAGAAGACGGAAGATATTTCCACAAGCTAGAAGTGCGATAGAAGAAAATGTTAACATAGAACTTACGGTTGCATCTAGCCATTTTAACTGTAAAATGATGAGACCTAGTCAATCAAGTACTGCCCTTAAATTCATAAAATCTCGGCACCATAGAGTAAAGCTCACTAAAATAATTACCATGAAATATTTATAGAAAAGGCACAGGGAAGCTACATTCCGGCAGTGGGGAAGTGAATGAGGGCGAGATGCCATTGCAGATCCTTTTTTTTTTAATTCAGTTAACGCTTTAAAACCTTTAAGGATACCTATATCTGTCCTCCTTTACGGCAGCGAATGTTGAACGGTGCCCTCAAAGATGAAGAAGAGACTTGAGGCGACGGAAGTATCATTCTACAGAAGGATTCTAAGGATATGGATCGTGCGTGTGAGCAACGATGGGATTTTGGAGAGGATGCAAACAAAAGGGAAGTGCGAGAAAGTTCTATGCTGACAGTTTCTTAACTTACGGTTAAATCTAGCCATTTCAACTGTAAGATGATGAAACCTTGACGTGAATCTAATATTGCGCTTAAATTAATAGAGTCTAGGTACTTTAGAGGAAAGTTCATCAGAACAATTTATATTCGGTCGAGTTACCTCGGGTATTCATTTTATCACGTCAACCATCACGGTCTTGTATGAATGTATAAAAATAGCAGCAATACATTTTCATACTTAAAAATAACCAGTAATACATTTTTGTAAAATAATAATAATAATAATAATAATAATTAGGAGCAATACGTTTTTGTAAAAAAAGTAAAACAAAAAATTACCAGCAATACATTTCTGTTAGGAAAAAAATTAGCAGCAATACATTTTTATAAAAGAAATTACAAAATACATTTCGGCATTAAATGATTCATAACGAGTTGGTATACCTCTGAATAAAACAAAAGAAATGAATGGACATTTGTGAATAAAATACTGAGCTGTTACGTGACATCTGTCTTTCTTTACGGAAAGCGAATGTTGGACGTTGTCCTCAAAGATGAAGAAGAGACTCGAGGCGACGGAGATGTGGTTCTACAGAAGGATGTTAAGGATATCATGGATCGTGCGTGTGAGCAACGATAAGGTTTTGGAGAGGATGCAAACAAGCAGGAAGATTATACTTAGCATCAGGAAGAGGCAGCTGGAATTTCTGGGACACGTAATGAGAAAGGAGGGCTTGGAGAATCTGATACTCACAGGGCCTATACAAGGGAAAGCAACGCATGAGATACCTAGCGGAATTAAGCAAGTGGATGACAGAATATGGCCTAGGGGAAGTAGCAAAGGGACTAAACTTATTGAGATAGGAGGAAGTGGAGAGCCATGATCGCCTACGTCCTGAAGGGACACGGCACATTTTAAAAAAATCTACGAATACTGTCTACTTTATTTACTATAAACACATCTTCATAACATTTACATTGATGTACCCTTTAAGAAGATAAATATCCTTGTGGTGATACTATATTTCCCCACTTCCTCTAATATTTAATATTAACTCGTATCGTTTCATAATTTGCTTCTAATGAATAAAATGAAGATTCCTCCCACACGGTGACCAATTAACCCATTCCCTGTCGCGCACGTACAAGATCCCGCGACATCTCGTGTGTGTTTTTTTTTGTTTTTTTTCTTTTTTGTTTTTTTTTCTTTTTTTTTCTTTTCTTTTTTGCTTACAACCGTGGAATAGATGCTTCTTTTTTTTCTTGATATTAATCCTTTTTTTTTTTTTTTTTTTCGATCTTTTCTTTTTTTTTTTTTTCGATCTTTTCTTTTTTGTTCGATCTTTCCACGGACTCTGATTCGTAAACTCTTTATCTTTTTACGTTTTGTTTCTTTTCTTCTTTTTTCTTTAACTTTTACAAACTGTAAGGTGTATTCCCCCTCTGTAAAGAACCTTAAAAATATTCATCCGTTTTTGTTTTTTTTTTTTCTTCTCTTTTTTGTTTTTTTCTTCGAGCAAAAACTCCAACCTCAGACGCCGTTCCACAAAAAAAAAAAAAGAAAAACCCGAACTGCTTACTACATCCTCGTAGTCAGCTGTGCGCCAAATCGGGACCCTGTTTCCCCACCCTAACCACCCGGGGGTCTCCTGGCTCTACCTCCTCCATATCTTCGACTGGATGTGCTAGTCCCATGCAGACCTACTGCTGTTGCCGCCGCTTCTCTTGTCGCCATGCCCTAGTGAGGGCCCCACCCTTATACCACAAACAGACCTCGAAGCCATAAATTACGCCTAATAAGACAGTTGCAACTCAAGCCCGGCGCCTCTGGTCCTCGCTCAACGTCGATGCACAATCCCCTCTCCACCGGTAAGGGGGGCACCTATCAACCCACCTCTAACCTTTTCCCGCTTCCCCACTTAAATTTTACTTTTCGTTTTGTTTTAGGGTCGCCATTTTTATTTTTGCTTTTTTCGTTGTTAGTTTTGTGCTTTGTTTTTTTCTTCATTTTTATTTCTTTTCAGACTCTTGATCCCATCACCTTGTGTGCGTGTGTGCGTGTGCGTGTGTGTGTATGTGCGTGTTCCTGTGTGTGTGTGTGTGTGTGTGTGTGTGCGCGTGTGTGTGTGCCCGCGTGCGCAAAGGTTCTCTTTTTCGCTTTTGGCTTTCTTTATTTCTCTCTTTTTTCTTTCTTTTATCTTATCTTTTTTTTTATTCCTACTTTAGGATAGTTTTCTCTTCCCCCTTATCTTTCCCCCTTTACTCATATTTCTATTTTGCCCCTTTTTTTATCATACATTACTCCTTTTATTTCTTTTCTCCTTTTCGCCGTTTCTTTTTTCCTTTTCCCTTGTAACCTTTCTTTCTTTCTTTCTTTCTTTTCCTCTTTGCTCTTTTTTCCTTCCTTCCTTCCTTCCTTCCTTCCTTCCTTCCTTCCTTCCTTCAGTCCGTCCGTCTTTCTTTCTTTCTTTCTTTCTTTCTTTCTTTTCCTCTTTGCTCTTTTTTCCTTCCTTCCTTCCTTCCTTCCTTCCTTCCTTCCTTCCTTCCTTCCTTCCTTCAGTCCGTCCGTCCGTCCGTCTTTCTTTCTTTCTTTCTTTCTTTCTTTTTTTCTCTTTTTCTTTCTTTCTTATTCCTTTCTCTTTCATTTTTCATCTTTTCTTTCGTTTTACATTTTCGTTTTTTTCTTTCCTTCTTTTTCTCTTTCTTTCCCATTTTCTTTTTTCTTTTTCTTTTTTATTTCGTTCTTTATCTCTTTTCATTTCATCCTTCTTCACATTTTCTCTTCTTTTGTTTTCCGCCATTTTCCCCTATTGACTTCTGATCCCTATTTTTTTTTTCTAAATTTCTTTCAATATATTTTTATAATTATACTTTCTGTGATGCTTTTTCTATTCTTTTTTCCTTTCTTTTTTCTTTCTTTTTTTCTTACTTTTTTCTTTCTTCTTTCTTTCCTTTCTTTTTCTTTACTCTTTCCCATCATTTTTAACTCAGTTCTTTTTCATCTTTTACTTTTTTTTTTCCTTCTCCGTCTTTTCCTTCCCTTTCTTTCTAACTTTTTTCGCTTTTCTCTTTTTTCGTTCAGTTTTTATTTCCGCCTTCCAACGAATTTGGTTCAGTGGCAAAACATAAACCTCGAGAGCACCAGGCCTGAATTTAACTTCCGCTACCTGTTCGGTGACTCTCCTTATTCACCAAAGAGCAGACGAACTGATACAAACCAGAGTCAGAGGATAACGACTCAATAAAATAAGCGAAAAGAATGAATGAATGAATGAATCTATCTATCTATCTATCTATCTATCTATCTATCTATCTATCTATCTATCCTTCCATCTCTCTGTCTGCCTGCCCATCTATCTACCTTTCTATCTTAATCCCTTCATATCTATCTATCTATCTAAATCCCTTCGTATTTATCTATCTATCTATTTATCTGTCTGCCTGTCCATCTATCTATCTTTCTTTCAATCTTAATCCCTTTATATCTATCTATCTATCTATCTATCTAAATCCCTTCATATCTATCTATCTGTCAATCTATCGTCTCTCTCTGTCTGTCTGTCTGTCTGTCTCTCTCTCTCTCTCTCTCTCTCTCTCTATATATATATATATATATATATATATATATATATATATATATATATATATCAAAGTGTAGGAGAACGAACAGTAAGATTACAGCGTTCAAAACATTAATTTAAAAATAGTCCTCAATACACAAAGTAGAGCCGTAAATATTTATTTATTTATTATGCAGTGTTACATTAGAACATGCACATATCCACTACAAAATTGTACATTTTGTTTCAACGATAAAAAATGACATCTCATATATATATATATATATATATATATATATATATATATATATATATATATATATATATATACCTTAATACTTTCAAATCTATCTATCTTAATCTCTTCAGATCTATATATCTGTCTATCTATCTAAAATCCCTTCATATCTATCTATCTATCTATCTATCTATCTATCTATCTATCTATCTATCTATCTAAATGTCTGTCTATATTTCCCTATCCGTGGTTCTCTCTCTCTCTCCTTTCTTTCGCTCTTTCTCAATTCATTTTCCAGTTTCCCCTTTTTTATTTCCCCTCTTTACACAATTCTCTTTCCCACGCTCCCCGAATTTTCCTGCTTTCTCTTATGTTTGTTTGCCTTTCTCACCTTCTTTTTACGTTTTTTTCTGTCTAGCTCTCTCTCTCTTTCTCTCTCTCGTTTTCTTCCCAATCTCTAGCTTTCCGTTCTTTGCAGCTCTCTCTTTTTGATGTTTTCCCGCTCTTTCCTTCTGTTTTCTCGTTTTCAGCACTCTCCTTCTAACACTCTTTCCCTCATTCTCTCTTTCAACATCTACCTTCCAGTTTGAATGTCTGTATTCCTATATCTGTGTTTTCTCTCTCTCTCTCTCTATCTATTAGTCTACCTATCTTTCCTTTCCCCCCCTCTTTCTTTCACTGTTTAATTCCCAGTTTACCCCTTTTGTTGTTTCCATCTTTCGACACCTCTCTTTCGTACTCTATCTATCTATCTATCTATCTATCTATCTATCTATCTATCTATCTATCCTTTCTTTTCCTCTCTACCCCTTTTTTGTTTCCATCTTTCCACGCCTCTCTTTCGTAATCTATCTATCTATCTATCCTTTCTTTTCCTCTATACCCCTTTTTTGTTTCCATCTTTCCACACCTCTCTTTCTCATTCTCTAAGACCTTTCACGCTTTCTTTTTTGATGTTTTGCTTTTCTGCCTCTCTTTATACAATTTCTCTTTCAACCCCCCCTTCTCACATTCTTGCTCTCCCTTTCCTTTACATCTCTCTCTCTCTCTTTTATACTTCCCCCTCTTTCTTTACTTTTATATCTTCTCGTTTTCAGTACTTTTCTCTCTCTCTCTTCTCTCTCTAACACTGTCTCCCTCCTTCTCTCTTTCACGATTTATCTATCTATCTATCTATCAAATTTTTTCCTTCTTTCTTTCTGAGTCTTTCTTTCTTATCTTTCTTCTCTTTGCCTTTATTTTTCTTCTTATTTTCTCTGGTCATCTTCTTCATATCGACATCTATTCTCTGCTCCATATGGCTTTTCACAACAGTCCACCTCTCCTCCACCCAGATACACACCGACGAAGAAAAAAAAGAGCCACTTTATTTATTTTTCTTATTATTTTTAGAGTCTACGAGCATAAAAATGTGGGTGGGGGGAGTTAAGAACAAAGTTAAAAGACTGAAAGACCTGCGCAGACCGGAAAGTGTCCTATGTTTTATTATTACTTATAAGACACCCTACCAGCCCCTATCCCCAGCAACAGAACCATGACAGACTCTGTCGTCTCCGATAGATTAAAATGTCGTTATCATTTTATGAGTACGACAATCAACTATCAAATGTATTAGAAACTTGCCTAGTACTTTTGAGAAGAGTTACACCAAAATATCCCATTACCCTCATCCAAAGACTTTCTCGATGTAGACAAAATATGAGGTTGTTCGGAAAGTAATTACAGTTAACCAGAAGATATATAAAAACAAAGCTAAATTAAATTTATTTAAAATATATCTATAAAAAATGCAATTAATTTCATTTTCAACGACTACAGACCAACCGGATGGTAAACTTTCAATTTCACGTTTACAGAAATCTGGGTTTTCCCCTGAAAAAAAGGTTTCAAAGACTTCCTCAAGGACACATGTCACAGTGGATAAAGGCGTTGGTTATATCCAGTAACAGGACCCATTATATATATATATATATATATATATATATATATATATATATATATATATATATATATATATATATATTGAGCTTTTAGCTTCCATTTTTGAAACATGGTTAGAACTGTGTAGCGAAAAAAACATATTTTAAATAAATCAATTTATAATATTAATGCTCTGTAAATTTACATTGAGCACTATTTTGTAAAAATAAAAATATCTATAAAAACACCGGATTATAACTTACTGTTCTTTTCTTTATATATATATATATATATATATATATATATATATATATATATATATATATATATATATATATATATATTAAATAAAACAGACCATTTTAAGGTTCCGTGTAATAAATTATTTCACCACAGCCCTTTTAAAGGACTGCGGATCATCAGACTTTACTTCCAAAGGTTGAAACGAAAAATGAAAAGAAATTTACATATTTTTGACGGGCCGTATTAAGCATATGTAAATTAACGAAGTGAGGAAGTGAGTGGGGAGAGAGAAGACATCAGTGAGTTAGATGTAATTTAATATTTCTATTCTTTCATACTTAAAATTACTTGAGGAGGTCCAGACATTGACACATTTAATCAGTTAAATTATTTGCTCTGGATTTACATTGAGCTCTCTGGATTTTATCCTCCATGGGTCTACCTATACGGATTACCTTGTTTTTCATAAACTATATCTATCTATCTATCTATCTATCTATCTATCTATCTATCTCTCTCTCTCTCTCTCTCTCTATATATATATATATATATATATATATATATATATATATATATATATATATATATAGATAACTATACTCGTTTTGAAAAACCTTCAATTTTGATTTGCCAGTAATCAAATCAATCTCGAAGGAAAAAAAGTTTTAAAAAAGAAAGAGCTAGAAACATGAAAGTCTGCCGAAGCCCAAAGAAAAAACACCGAGACGAATAAACAACTAACAAAAAAGTGCTCAATACAACCGTAGAGCAGACCTAGATAAACCTAGTGAGCCAAACAAACCAGCTTTCCCTGACGATCCGCTTGAGGTGAAACCTGGGTAGGTTTGTCTGGCTCACTAGGTCTATCTATATCTATATATATATATATATATATATATATATATATATATATATATATATATATATATATATGTCCAGACTTAGGAGGTTGGTGAGTCCTAGACCTTTTTAGGACACCTTTGGAAGTGAAAGACCCATATTACTTTTGGGATATCCTTATAGGAGAAAGAAACTTTTATATGAACCTGAAGCTTTCTGGTTGTGTCAACCTTTTGTTGTGTCACTGCGATTATTGACCAATTCTGCTGAAAGATGGGCAGATAGGAATATCTTCAACAATCAACCCTAAAATAGTCGTTTGGGGTTTATGTCCCCTGAGATGATCTTACTTGGTCATTAGTCGACTTTTCACTATGTATGGAGGCGCGTCGCCGAATGGTTAGAACGTTCGCTTTCCGATCATATGGCCCGGGTTCGAATCTCACTATGGTTGATTTGTCATAACTTCTTGATGTAATATGGTCTGCCGATAGGATACCATAATCTGAGTTGGCCTAAACTTTGCAAGTGAAATTGGGCAGGCGGAATAATTCGGGGCCGTCAATGAAGCACAAAGACACGAGTCATCGTGACTGAGGGTGTGAGTGTACCGGCCTTGTTCAAACTGCTGATCAAGATAGATTATGCGCTTTCTCCTAGAAACAGAAACAGGCCAGCTACTGGTGGACTCTACGGGTGATTAATAATTACAAATGTGATCTAACAGAAATAGATGTGCTCGGAAACAGGTTGCCAGTCAGTATGTATGTATGCATGTTGATATGCTTAAAAGGCAGTCAGCTTACCAGAATAGAGTTTCTGGTACTTCAGCATCAGGTACGATATGGTCATGATGAAGGATAATAGGATCCCTAAGGAAAACAAACCAAAAAACAAAGGTATAAAGATTGCATCAATAACACACTGCAGAAGATCAACCCGGCAAAATGACTGGGGAAATGTAACTCGAGATCGTTCAACCTGAAGAAAAACAATTCGCAATTGTAAAAGAAACTTTGAACAGAATTGTGTTGAACATGAAATACTCAAGAGAGATGTTCGTAAGGGTCTTGATGTTAATTACCCTTGGACTTTTGTCACATGATTCGATCTAAAGTGTTTTTTTTTAAAGCATTCAACCCCAAGCAAGGCGGGAAGCCACTAACACGCAAAGGGTTTCAGAGCAAGAGCGAGAACAAAGAGGATTGATAGAGGAAATGATGAAGAGACGGTTAGGGGATAGATCAGGGCATCTGGAGACGTCGATTGACGCTACATTTGAATAGTTGGAGATTATAATTATCAGGAAAACAAGAAATGGGGACGGAGTTCCACAGGCGAGAAGTGCGAGACATGAAGCTATTAGAGTAGAAGAGACGGCTACATTTAACAGTTTCGACAGTGAAAGAGTGAGAGAGAGATGCCAGTCTAGTTGAGTGCTTAAATTCATGAAATCTGAGAACCAGCGAAAGCAGCCCACCGGAGCAGTTACCATGAAAGTATTTGTAAAAAAGACAGAGGGAGGCAACGGCACGTCTGTGAGAGAGCGACTGCAGACGAGATGCCAGATCAGGGCCAATTACATTGCATATCCTTCTTTGGATTTTATCAAGGACCTTGAGAAATGTGGTTATCTCTGCCTAAGTAGGACAGGCCACAAAAATGATCACAGACACGACACAAAGTAATTTCAGCAAAATATAAATGTAACAACGTTTGTTTTTGTTTTTTTAATGATTTCACCATAATGCCACTAAGATTCAATACGCTACTGAGGGTCGAAGAGAATGAGAAAACTTGAGTGAGTAGGAACGACAATAAAAGAATAGGTTTCAAGATGACAAAAAAATGATGTTGCATTTAAATTTTTGAAGATTGGAGTTGTCAGGGAAACAAGAAACCGGCAAGGACCGCAAGAGAAGAAACTATTAGAATAGAACATGCGGTTGCATCTAGCTAGTTCAACAGTAAAACAGTAAGATATACTTACCAAGCTGAGAGTATGATTGGATCCATTCAGTCGTAGCACCAAGGTGCAAAAATCATCGGAACAATTGTCATGAAAATATTGGTAAAAAAACAAAAACAAAAAACAGGGGTAAACCACGTCACATCAGTTAGGAAGTGACCGAAGAGGAGATGCCAGGTCAGTATTGATTACATTACAGACCCTATCTTGGACTTTGTGAAGAATCTCGAGATATATAGTAAGAACTTAAACCCGAGAAAGAGCAAAGAGCACTCTCTTGGAGGTTAGCATCAGCCATATTGATGTAAGACAGTGGTGAGTAAATGAAAGCACTTTCGTTATGGAGGCGTTAAAATTTGCAAGCCATTACTTGAGGAATTTAACTACTGAGGCCCTTTACAATTGGTAACTGCCAATTTCAATTTGTGGGACTTGCTACCAAGACAAGAATAAATAGTTGTCTCACCAGCATAAATAACTAGTTTGGAA